CGGGGGCAGGGGGCGGGCCTGGGAGCCGGAGGGACGGAGAGGAGGGATGCAGGGATGCAGGAGGGGAGAGGGTGGAGGCCAGGCGAGGGAGAGACGTGCGGAGCAGAGACCGGGGCCGAGACGGGGCTACACGAAAGGAGATGAAGTCGGGCACAGAGGCAGACGGCGAGAGAGATGCGGACCAGCAGACCGGCTGGCGCGAGGCAGGGACAGGGGCAGAGCCGGGGGAGTCCGACGCGGAGAGGCAGAGACGGGGGGAAAAGAGGGAGAGAGTCGGCCGGGGAGACGGAGACAGATGTGCAGAAACGCAGATGTGATGGAGAAGGGGAGAGGGGATGAGGGGGAGAGACAGCGACACAGAACCAGGGAGAGGCACAGGTGAGGGGAAGAGACAGGGAGGTGAGGGGGAGAGATAGGGAGGAACAGAGAGACAGAGACAGAGGGAGGGGAGGATGTAGAGGCGAGGCCCAGGGAGAAGAAGGGCAGCCAGAAAGATGAAGGGTCAGAGCGCAGGAGGGAAGTGGGAGAGACAGGTGGACGGGGATGAGGCGGCAGGTAAAAGAACAGACAGGTGGAGGGACAGAGACCCAGACGAAGAAAGACAGGGCTATGGAGAGGGACAAAGAAGGAGAGAGCTGGGGACCGGAAAAGAACCGTGGGGTCCCTACAGGGGGGAGGGCTACGTGCTGGGGAAGACGGGGGCACAGAAAGATGGAGACAAGCAGAGAGAGGGAAAGAATTTGGGGGTTGCCGAACCAGGCCCCCAAGCCTGCCCACCCAGGCCTCCTTCTCCCTCTAGTATCAGGGCCCCATATCCACCCACAGCCCAGGTGCACCTTCTCAGATTTTCTTGGTTCCATTCCCCCTTTTAGGATCCTCAGTACTCCGCAAAGAAACTTCCAGAACCCCCTCAGGTCCCTGTGTATGTTTTGAGACCCCTGAATATTCTTTGTGCCCACCATAGGGTCCCCTCAATCTTCATGTGGGCCTCCATACAATTCTACGTGCCCACTATAGCACATCCACGGATCTGTGCTCAGGTAGATCTCCACATAATCCAGGACTCCTGTATCAGGTACCCAAAGGTGTTAGACACCCGTTTAGTCCCCAAGTCCCCTATAAAGTGGACCCCAGAGCTTCTAGTCTCCTAGACAACTGCCTTCATTCTGTAAACCTTTATCTAACACCAAATCTGAATGCTGGCCCTGTCCACATGGTGAGGGGACACCAGGGAACCACACCAACAAAGATCTTTGCCCCGTGGAGCTTCCACGGCAGTGGACACGGCAGGTGATAAACAAGATAAGCGAAGTGTATGTTTTGACAGTCAAGTCTCTGGAGACAAGTGCCGAGGAGCAGATGAGGGGTGCAGGAAGTGTTTGTTGGGTAGAGTAGGATTTTTTAAGCGGTGCCAAGAAAGACTTCTCCAGTGAGGGAACACTGAAGGAAAATGAAGGTCAGAGCTGTGTGGACAAAGTACCTTCCACGCAGGGGACAGCGAGTGCAAAGGCCCTACGGTGCATGGTGGGAACCTCGAGGGGTCAGTGTGGCTGGAGGAGCAAGAGAGGGGGAGAGACAGAAAATGAGGTGAGGAGGCAGATCATATAGGACCCTATTAGAAGCAGGGTGACCATATGCTTGGCATTCTGTAATTATCGTCATCACCATCATTATTTGGTATTCTGTAATTATTAATGAGGTCTGTTTGCACTCTGAAGTCTCGCTATGCATTGAAAATTGTATGATCACCCTACTCATAAGGTCTTCATAAGGACTATGGCTTTTGTAGGGTACCTGGGGAGTTTTCCTGTAGGCCAGCATTATATTATACGTATATTAACATACACAGTGTTATGTATAATTACACGTTGTATTTACATAGGTTGTATGGTACCATGCATAATAACGTATTGTAAATAATATAAATCGACTTGTACATGGGCGTATGTAAGGATGGTAGGCTGAATAACAGCCCCCAGAGATGCCCACATCCTAACTTCCCAGAACCTGGGCCTATGTCACCTTACGTAGCAAAAGAGACTTTGCAGATGTGACTGAGTTGAAGATCTGGAGATGGGCAGATGATCCTGGTTATCTGGGTGGGCCCTGTAGGTGATCGCAAGGATCCTTATGAAAGGGTGGCAGGGGACGGTCAGAGTCAGAGGAGATGGGACCAAGACAGCAGAAGCCAATGTGATGTAGCCACAATCCAAGGAATGTGGGTGGTCTCTGGAAGACAGAAAAGGCGGGCAGCAGATTTTCTCCTAGACCCTCGAGAAGGAACACAGTCCTGCTGCTACCTTGATTCTAACTGAGTGAGAACCATTTTGGACTTCAGACCACCAGAACTGTAAGATAATAAATCTGTGTTGTTTTAAGCCACCAAATTTTTCGTAATTTATTTTTTAAATGCTTATTTGTTTATTTTTTTTGAGAGAGAGAAAGAGCGTGAGTGGGGGAGGGGCAGAAAGAAAGGGAGAGCGAGAATCCCAAGCAGACTCCATCACTGTCAGCGCAGAGCCCTATGCAGCGCTTGACGCAGGGATCCCCGAAGGGCTCCATCACACGAATTGAAGAGTCCATGCTTAACCGACTGAGGCACCCAGGCGCTTCTTTCATAATTTGTTAAAGGCAGCAATAGAAAGACATACAATAGGGTACAGGGCGTGAGGGTAGGGTTAGGAGCCCAGACCCCTGATAGCTATTTTGCTCAGTGCTACAAACACCGCCCGCGGGTGCCCAGGGCTTTTACGTTGTCTCTCCAATTCTGTCCCCAATACAACCTCGCACACTCCTGGCGCAGCAGGATGTGCAATCCGTGTGCGACTGTGGCCGCCACCTGAGCTGAGTACAACCTTCTCCTAGCGGGGCAGGGCGGGGCCCCTAATGGAAGACTAGAACCAGGGGTTAAGCCCAGCTCGAGGCAAATAGCTCTACAGACCAGGCATATTCCCAGACCCGGGCCCCACACACGGCGCACAGAACCGGCAAGCCTCCCGAACCACCTAGTCCGAGTATTTTGCTTTGGCTGCGGCCTTCAGGAATCCCCTCGTCCTGTGCACCTGGCAGGACCCAGGGAAGATTCCAAGAGGGAGAGGCTGGGTGATAATAGGTGTCCGCAGGCGCTGCAGCGGGAACAAGGGAGCCCCCTTTGACGACTGGGGAAACTGAGGCCAGGAGCGGGGTGGAATGGGCCAAAGGCTGCTTACATCAAATGTTAGGGGTGAGAACCTAGGGCTCCAGTAAAAGATGCAGCAGGTGTCCAGGTGCAGGGGAAAAGGCCCTAGGGTGAGGGACCTGCACAACCGGCAAGTAGGGGGTGGGGCCTAACGGGGAGCGGCCCGCTCACCGGCACGCGGCGGGGCTCAGGGGAGGGGTGGAGTCAAGCTGGGAGAGGCCGAAAGGCCCAGAACAGGGGCGGAGCGTGAGGTGGCAGGGCGGGGCGAGAGCATTGGTGTGGGCGGAGCTACACTGTGGGCGGGGCGAAGCCACGGCAGGGGTGGAGCTTGCAAGGAGGACTAGGGGACGCGGCTCCTAAGGGGCGAGATCTGGGTCGGGGCGGAGCTTAGGCTGAGAATGAAGCGGGGGGCGGGGCCGGCCGCCTTATCCGGCCAGGTGGGAAGGGCTTAAGAGCCGCGAAAGCCTCCTGGATCAAGGTTGGGAGGGTGCGCCGGGAACTTCCGGGCGAGTTTGGTGCATTTCCGGTCAAGATGGCGGCGCCCAGCAGAGTCAGGTGCGGGCGACTCTGTCTTTAGTAGCGACGGCGACTCACAGCCCGGGGAGGTGAGTCTTGGGTTAGGGAGGTCCGTCTCGCTCTGGCTCCCCTCTTTGGAGAGGAAGGAGAGGGGATTTGTTGCTAAGGCGTCCAAAGGGGGGGGCTTGTTGCCAAGGAGGCAGGGCAGTGGGGTTGCTAAGAGACGGGAACGCACTTAGGGGCGATGGGGGAGGGGGTTGCTAGGTTGCTAGTTGGAGTGGGTGGAGCCTGTTGCGAGGGAGGAAGGAGGGGCGTGTGACTTTGGGGAAGGGTCCTGTGGGTCTGCAGGAAGGAAAGAGGGCTGTGGCTATGGTGGGTGCGGGCAGAGTGGTTTGGGGTCATGGGCGGGCGCCCAGCTCCCCTAAAACGCCGCCTTCTCAGCAGACCCCCAGGAGTCGACCCGACGGGACGCCAGAGCTACCTCAGCGGTGGCCACCCGCTCTCCCAGACACATTCTTCCCTTCACAAACAGCCCATGGCGGACCAAGGCTCTGGGGGCAGCCGCCTCCCCCTGGCGCTGCCCCCGGCCTCCCAGGGTTGCTCCTCAGGGGGCGGCGGCTCCTCGGCCGGGAACTCGAGCCATCCTCCGCCCCCGCGAAACCTCCAAGGCCTGCTGCAGATGGCTATCACGGCGGGCTCTCAGGAACCAGAGCCCCCTCCAGAGCCCATGAGTGAAGAGGTAAAGGGTGGGGATCCCGGAGGTGGGGAGAGGGGGTAGGTGGGACAGAAATCTCTCGGGAAGTGCGTCCTGGGCAGGGGCGGGAGTCCAGGTGTGAGGGCATAGCCATAGCGGGCTGTGTTTGTGCCAGGTGGGGTTATGGTAGACTGGAGGTCAGATCTCAGAAGTGCCTGCGAGGGCAGATCCCTGGATCCCAGCATCCCGTCGAGGTGCAGAGTTGCACAGTAGCTTTGTGGTGAGAAGGGAAAGGGAGCCGGGCAGACCTGGTTTCGGCAGTATCCAGCTGTGTGACCTTGGGTATGGCACTTCACCTCTCTGAGCAGCAGGTTCTTTATTTGCAAGTTGATGATGACGCTAAGAATAACAGCATTTCATAGGGTATTTCTGAGGTTCCCGTTTAAGCAGGGGTCCACACAGCGCCGGGCAGTGTTCCTGAAGACAGCAGGCTGTTCTCATCAAGAGTGCAGTCTCTGGGGACAGGCACTTAGGTTTGACGTTAGGCTTTGTGGGTGGCCGACACTGTGACCTTGGGCAAGTCACAGCCTTTCTGGGCCTCGGTTTTCTCATCTGTGAAGTGGGGATAGCGATACTCACCTGGGAGGGTTGTCTTGGAGATTAGTTAGCAATACTGGTATATGTGATGTTTAGTGGCTGATGGTGATTATAGTATACAAAATATTGTGCTAATCCAGTGATGTCATTGAACGTTTAGGACAATGAGGTAGAAATAGGCACAGAAGGATTAACATCTTGCCCAAATTCATCCAGGACTTGTGACTACAGAGCCCGCATATGAGCACTAACAGACCTGGTGGGAAAAAAAAACAACAACAACAGCAAGAAATCAGTGGCCAGCTCTCAGCTGTCATCTCACTTGACCTAATAGGCAGCATTTGATTCCTACCCATCTCCTTGATCTCTTTCTTCGTTTGTTTTCTAGAACAACAGTGTCCTGGTTTTATCCTTACTCACTGGCTCTCCTTCCCTCTCCTCTGCTGATTCTTCCTCATTCTCCAGCCTCTGAATGAATGCGTACCCCAGGGCTCTTCTCTTACCTACCTGTGCTCACTTCCTTTGTGAACTCATGTTGTGTTGAGACTTCCCCCTGACCACTCTCAGATTTATATCTCTAGACCAGTGGTTCTGATATTATCTCTCTGCGGACATTTGACAACCAGCGGAGACATGTTTAGTTGTTCAACTCGGTGCAGGGGGTGGGCTGCTGGCATCTAGTAGGTAGAGACCAGGGCAGCTGCTTGCCGCTCAACATCGTCCAGTGTACCCACCCCCAACAGAACCATCCAGCTCAGAGCGTCAGTAGAGCCAGGTTGGGAAAGCCAGGTCTAGGCTGGACCTCCTCTCTGAGCTCCAGCATTTCGCCTTGGGTGTGTAGTAGATCTCTCAAGCTGAACGTGTTGAAAAATGAGCTCTCATCTCCACTCCTCATGTTCCATACCTGCTTCCCCTCCCATCTCCATCTCCATCTCCTTCTAGTTGCTCAGGACAGAGACCTAGGAGTGCCTTCTTTCCCACCCCGTTGCCACTCTCTCCGTAAATCTCGTGTCTAGAAAGTTGTGAATAGAAAAGACGCTCAACGGAAACCTGTTGATTGAAGGAGCAGTCAGCTCCCGAATGTTGGCCGTTATTAGTAACAACTGTTAGGCGTGAACGAATTACTGACAGAGGGTTGCTTCTTTCCCCACCCTCCTGCCCGGTCTCGCGCCCCAGAGGCGTCAGTGGCTGCAGGAGGCCATGTCCGCCGCCTTCCGGGGCCAGCGGGAGGAGGTGGAGCAGATGAAGAACTGCCTCCGAGTGCTGTCCCAGCCTACACCCTCCTTGGCTGGGGAGGCCGAACTGGCCGCTGACCAGCAGGAGCGTGAGGGGGCCCTGGAGCTGCTGGCCGACCTGTGTGAGAACATGGACAATGCTGCAGGTACGCCCCGGGCTGCCCACCCCCGCCTCCAGGGTCTTGCCCCTTCTCCCTGGTCTCCCCTCTGTCTCTTCCCTCCTCTGCAGCCCCGGGTCCCTCTGTGTCTTAGCCCCTGTCCTTCCTTTCGGGGATCACACTGTCGGCCTCTCCCCTACCCTCCTGGCCTCCAGCCTCTCCCTCTCTAGTCTGGTCCCAGATGTGACTGCCCTGTCTCTTCCTGCCTGGTCCCCTTGTCATCAGGAGGGGACCTTCTCTCACCCCACCAGCCCGGCGGCACGTCTGCCTCCCCGATATCCTCCCAAACTGGTCATTTCTCCCTAGTCTCTTGCGTGTGCACTGTCACTCCCCGGAACATGAGTGAGGAGGTGGTTCGGGGCAGGATGGTCAGAGAGGGTCTCCCCGAGGGGTGCCATTTGGTTACAGACCTGAAGCAGTGGAGTGAGTTATGAGATTAGCTCTGGAAAAAGCTAATGGGGTATGGCCAGTGCAAAGGCCCTGAGGTGGGAACATACCTGGGACGTGCAGGAACAGCAGTAGGGCCAACAGGCCAGAATGGAGTGAGCGAAGGGCGGGAGGTGGGAGGGGACGCTGGGTGTGGAGGGCCTTGCAGGCCAGAGTCGGTGCTGGGGTTTTGTTCTAAATGCCAAGGAGCTGGTAGGAGGAGGACATTCTACTTTCAGTCGCGGGGGCATAATATAGTCATTGAGGGTGTGGATTTGTCTTTTCTGGCCGTTTCACGTCAATGGAATCATAGAATATGTGGCCTCCGAGTGGACGTTTTCAAGGGTTTTCCATGTGGGAGCCTGTAACTGGAACTTTATTCCCCTCTGGAACAACCTATTGTGTGGACAGGTCACGGGTTTGCTTATCCATTCATCAGTTAATGGACATTGGGGTCATTTCCCCCATTGCTTATTGAGAATATTGCCCTCGTGAACATTGGTGCAAGTGTCTGTTTGAGTCTGTGCTTTCCGTGGTTTTGGGTCTTTATGTAGGAGTGGTCATATGACAACGCTGCGTTTAACTTCTCGAGGAACCACCAAGCTCGCTGAGACCACTTTATTTATAAGAACGGGTGCTGGGCCGTAGTTTGCCGAGCCCTGGTCTAGTATGAGGTACTCCCACAGGGAGATTGGGGGTCAGTACCGGAATTCAGTGGGCTGCAGCCTGGGACCCTAAGCCCCCAAACGCTGACATTTTTTTTTTTTTTTCTGTTTTTACTTTTATTTGCATGTATTTCATGCAGAATTTACTCCCGGGCCATAAGTTTTTGTTTCTTCACTTTCTTCTGGGATATCTTTTTCTTCTGTGCAACCTCCTCTTCTGGTTTAGGAACAATCTGCTCTTTTTCAGTAAGGATCATCTCAATGTGGCAGGGAGAGCTCATGCATGGGCTAATCCGACCATGAGCCCTGTAAGTTCTACGCCACATTTTGGGGGCTTTGTTCACCTGGATGTGTTCAATGACCAGAGAATCTACATCTAAACCCTTACGTTCAGCATTGCTCTCTGCATTTTTAAGCACGTGCAGTAAAAATTCGGCACTCTTTTTGGACCACCGACCCTGTGTCCAGCCCCGCTGTTTGGCCTGGGCACACCTACCAACTCCACCGTTGTAGCGTTGGAATGGCACACATTGCTTCTGCAAAGTGACATCTTTCAGATACTTGGTGGCCTTTCGGATATGCATACCGATACTTGGTGGCCTTTCATATATGCATTCTTGATGGCCTGGGCAGTTTCCCGTGTGTTCTTAGAGTGAACACGAAGATTTGAACCTCTTGATTTGCATGATTTTGTCGGGTTTTCCGGGTCAAGTGAATAGCGAACCATTTTCAGAGATCACCTCAGGCCGCTTACGGGAAGAGAAACGCTGACATTTTTGAGACCTCGGAGGGATGCCTGGTTGGGTGCCGGGAGGAAGCCCGCACTTGAGGCAGGCTCCCCTGGGAGGCAGCCTCACCCTCCAGCCTCACCTGGCGTATTAACTTGTGAGGGTGGCAGTAACAAAGCACCACAGAATGGGAGGCTTGAACAGACTTGTGTCGCCTCACACCTCTGGAGACTGGAAGTCTGAGATCCAGGTGTGGGCAGGGTCAGTTTCTCCTGGGCTCGGGTCTCCTTGGTTTGCAGGTGGCCGCCTCCTCCCCGTGTCGACACGTGGTCTTCCCTGAGTGCATGTCTGTGTCCTGATCTCTTATAAGGACACCGGTCGTACCAGATTAGCACCCACCCTGATGACCTCACTCTACCTGGGTGATTTCTTAAAAGGCCCTGTTTCCCCATACGTTACATCCTTAGACACTCGGGGCTTCAGCATACGAATGTTGGGGGGGAGGGCACAGCTCAGCCCCTAGCACCTGAACTCTTGTCTCCCCTCTCTCTGGCACAGACTTCTGCCAGCTGTCAGGCATGCACCTGCTGGTGGGCCGGTACCTGGAGGCAGGGCCCGCGGGGCTGCGGTGGCGGGCGGCACAGCTCATCGGCACCTGCAGCCAGAACGTGGCGGCCATCCAGGAGCAGGTGCTGGGCCTGGGCGCCCTGCGCAAGTTGCTGCGGCTTCTCGACCGGGACTCCTCCGACTTGGTGCGCGTGAAGGCCCTGTTCGCCATCTCCTGTGAGTGTCGGCTCAAGCAAGGGAAGCATGATCCTGCTGGGATCTGCCTGGGGGCAGGTGGAGGGGGACCTGAACGTTCAGTTATGCCCATTACCCGTTGAGACTCTGTGCTGGGTGCCAGGACTGGGTGGTGAGCTTGCCAACCCCCTGTCACTCAGAGAGCCAGACCCTAGTGCCACGGGAATGCTGCTCAACACGTCAGAGTCAGCTGGGCCCTGTTGCCCTTCCTGTCGTGGAGGGGGCTTCATCTGCCTGGAGAGGGTGGCCTCACCCATGAGATACCCAGTGGCTCTCACTCATCATTGCCTCCTGGGGAACAGGTGCCTGGATGGGGCTGATGCCGACACCTGTGGGGCGCACTCTGTGTGCCAGGCCCCACGCCAAGCCTGGGTGAGCATTAGCTTGCTTAGCCCCATACACACACCGCCGGAGGTAGAGACGGAATTAAGGCCAAGGACAAGGTCAGGTAGCCTAAGTGATGGGACCCGGCTGAAAACAGTAAGTGACATGCAGGTGCTGCCGTGGGAGCCCAGGCAGTGCCCTCCACCATGCGCGCTTGGGCCCCGCTTCATGTGTAAGCACATGCTGGGGCTCCCCTATTTGACGGCACAGTTTCTTTTCTGTCTCTTTTTTTTTTTTGAATAAGCTTTTGTTGGGACACCCACAGGCTATAGAATTCATCCTTTGTTTATTTTTGAAGTTTTAATAAGTTTATTTATTTTTGAGAGACAGAAAGAGAGAGGGAGGCAGAGGATGAGAAAGCAGGCTCTGAGCTGTCAAGCGCAGAGCCTGACTTGGGGCTCCCAACCTGTGAACTGTGAGATCAAGGACCTGAGCCTTCCAAGTCAGATGCTTAACCGACTGAGCCACCCAGACACCCCATCATCCCTTTGAAGTGCACAGTTTAGTGTACTTGGCACAGCAACCGTCACCGCTGTCAACTTCAATTCTCCTTATCGCCTCCCAAGAGAAGCCCTCATCACGCCTGTTAGCGGCCCTCCCCGCGCTTCCTCTTCTTTCCTTCCCGCCCCCGGTACACCCAGCAGCCTTTACTGCTTGCCTGCCCCGACATGTGGCTTTTGAAGTCATACCGCATGGCTTTTGTAGCTGGTTTCTTTCACTGAGCTGCCGTATGCCGCTCATATGCGAGCTATAGCACGCACACCACCGCCTCGTTCGCCAGGTGGCTGAATAGTACGTCATTCGTGGACCACGCCTTGTTTATTCCTTTTCATCACTGATGGCGGTGGTGTGGTTTTCACTTTATTAGGTGGAACGGTCCCACCTGCGGACCATGGGGTAAGGTTTGAGATGGACGCGGTGTCTTCATCGCCTCGGTAAGCGCACGCCATGCTGGCGCTGGGTCCTGTGGGTCAGCTTCCAGACGGCTAAGTTGGAGGAGAACCTGTTCCCTCTCCCCTCACAACACTCGTGATACCAAACGTGTGCGGGGTTTACAACAACCAGGTTTCCAACTTGCTGGACACCAGCGGGGTGTTGGACAGTTCCATTCGGACACTAGCTACCCGCAGATGGCACACCTCCCACAGGTTAAGGGCTCAGCTCTACGAGACTGCCCTGCTTCAGACACCAGTGGAGAGTTTGGGCGTCCCTTACTTTCAAGCTACTGCCACGACAGGGTTCTTACGACGCCCCTCCTCCCGGGCCTCAAGGTTGGGACGGCTCTACAGAGCTCAAGGAAATACCTATGTTTAATGACTTATTATAAAGGATGTGATAAAAGATACAGATGAACATCCAGATGAAGAGGGACATGGGACGAGGTCTAGAAGGGTCCTGAGGACAGGAGCTTCTGCCCCTAAGGAGTTGGGGTGTGCCATCCTCCTGAATTCACTAACCCAGAGGCTCTCCGAACCCCACAGTTTAGGGATTTTTTTAAGTTGTAGAAACCCCTGCACAAACTTAAAAAGCAGAAGCAGGGGGAGGGGCAGAGAGAGAGAGAGAGAGAGAGAGAGAGAGAATCCCAAGCAGCCTCCACACTGTCAGCGCAGAGCCCGACTTGGGGCTAAAACTCGTGAATTGTGAGATCATGACCTGAGCCGTAATCAGGAGTCAGACACTTAACCGACTGAGCCACCCAGGCGCCCCGAGGGATTTTTATGGAGGCTTTCTCACGTAGGCGTGATGGATCATTGATTTCACTTCCAGTCCCTCTCTCCTTTCTGGAGGATGGGAGGTGGGGCTGGAAGTTCCAAGTTTCTAATCATGGGTTGGTCTTTCTGATAAGTAAACCCCATCCAGTAGTCCACCCAGAGTCACCTCATTAGAACAAAAGATGCTCCTATCACCCAGAAACTTCCAAGGGTTTTGAGATGTTGGTGTCAGGAAAGGGGGCAGAGACCAAGTATGTATTTAGTATGTCACAGTGGCCCCGGGAGAAGAACAGGGAGGCTAGGGGGAAAGGGATTGTGGCAAGGGTGCGGGAAAGAGTCCTGGAGGAGGTGGCATCTGGAGAGTCACCTGCAAAACTGGGGAGACAGATGGACAGGCAGACCTTGGGTGGCTTGGCCACAAAGGGTGGACAGAGAGACTCAGTTCCCCAGAGGTCCCGAGAGCCAGAGCAGGATGGGGAAGAGGTGGGTCAGTGTTGTCTTCTAATAGCTTGCGTTAATCATCTCTCAGTAAAAAGAAATACCTAAAAAAAAAAATAATGCTTATGAAGCGCGGGCCCCTAGAAGTTGATGTTGATGGTGGTGACCGTGACCTCGAGGTTCCTCCCCCCGCTTGTCTCCCCCCAGGCCTGGTCCGGGAGCAGGAGGCTGGGCTGCTGCAGTTCCTGCGCCTGGACGGCTTCTCTGTGTTGATGCGGGCCATGCAGCAGCAGGTGCAGAAGCTCAAGGTCAAGTCGGCGTTCCTGCTGCAGAACCTGCTGGTGGGCCACCCCGAACACAAAGGTGGGGCAGCCAGGGCAGGGAGCCCAGGGACGGTCCCAAAGGGAGGGTGGGCGGTATGTGGGGGGGAGGGGTGTGGACTGCCCCTCTGACCCCCAAGACCCTTCCCCCAGGGACCCTGTGCTCCATGGGGATGGTCCAGCAGCTGGTGGCCCTGATCCGGACAGAACACAGCCCCTTCCATGAGCATGTGCTTGGAGCCCTGTGCAGGTATGCTGGGGCCTCCGAGAGGGCGAGGCCTGCGCCAGGCGCCCCCCCCCCCCCTCCCGGGCTGGCACCGCTGGGCTCCTGCCCATCAGCCTCCTCCCTGATGGGATTCGGGAGCTTGGGCCTTTCCCACAGAGGGGGCAGGCATCATTGTGCTGGCCCTCCCTGAGCAGTAGTTTCCTCACTTGTAGGGGCTGACACGGCAGCCTGGGAGGAGGGGCAGAGGCTTACCCCGCTCCCCCCACACACGTACCGACAGATTAGTGTCTGCACGAGAGGACACGGGGAGCAGCCCGTCACGCAGGTGGCGGCTCCCGCGTGCCGAGCGGGCTCCAGGCCAGGCTCTGTGCCAGGTGCCTTGTTTTGTACCAGTCTCATCGTAGTCCCTGGGGTGGCGTGGGGACGGCGTGAGGTCTGCATCCGGATGGGGAAACTGAGGCCCAGCGTGGGGAACTGTCTTGCCCGGGCTCCTGTGAGAGCAGCGCGGGGGCGGGCCTGTGTAGAGCGGGGTCCCAAGGATTGCTCTCCTGTCCCCGTAGCCTGGTGACAGACTTCCCCCAGGGCGTGCGGGAGTGCCGGGAGCCCGAGCTGGGCCTGGAGGAGCTGCTCCGTCACCGCGTCCAGCTGCTACAGCAGCACGAGGAGTACCAGGTACGGCCCACGGGCGTGGCTGCGGCACGTGCTGCGTCCTTCCTGTGTCTCTTGCCGCGTGCCTCGTGCTCTGAGCTAGCGCTGCTGCACGGGCGAATGGGAGCCCGGGGTGCCGTAAGGGGTTAGTTAGCAGTCATTTATTTATAGCCAAATCATATCGTTATTTACATCCTGTCAGAGTTTTAACAATTAATCTTTATTAGATTGCTAAATAACAAGTCTGATAAGTAGCAACCAATGAGATAATGGAATAAGAAACGAGATAAGTAACTCGTGTATTTAATTAGGTAATAAGTAACAAGTGATAACTCAGATAATTAATCAGGAACAAATAAGTGGTAAAGAGCAACTAATTAAATATTCGTACAGTTGTTTAATTATTTAAGTGATTTAGCTGATAATTAAACGTGTCACACTCCAGGGACAACTGTTCGACTGAGTCCGTTCCTCTGTGACACTGTCGAGAGTTCACAGAGGTGCTGGGAGTGAGGAGCAGGGATGACCAGGAGAGGCACAGTGTCCACTCCTAGGGGCTTGCCCCGACCTCATCACAGGGACATGTGGAAACATGTGCCCAACGGATCGTGGGGTCCACGGAGCCCCAACCCGGCCTGGGCTCACTTCCAGCTGGGGAGTGCTTTAGTTGTTGCATTCGATCCCTGAGCCGCCTCGTGGCAGGTGATACCACGGCCCACTGGTGAGGACCCTCCTGGTGAGACAGGTCTCCTGTGAACTGACCAGCACTCCTTTTGCCTTTTTTTTTGTTGTTGTTGTTCCAAAAAAAAAAGTCTGTTAGCTCTATTTGGTTTTAATTTTTCTTTTAACATTTATTTATTTTTGAGAGGAGACAGAGCACAAGCAGGGGAGGGGCAGAGGGAGAGAGGGAGACACAGACTCAGAAGCAGGCTCCAGGCTCTGACCTGTCAGCACAGAGTCCGATGAGGGTCTCGAACTCACGAGCCGTGAGGTCATGAGCTGAGCTGAAGTCGGACGCTCAACTGACTGAGCCACCCAGGCGCCCCGCTTAACAGTTCTGTTGAGGTATAAGTGTCATGTAATAAACTCCACTTGCTTGAAGTGTGCGACGTGAGAAGCTTAGACATATGGATACACCTGTGGAAACCTTCATTCTTCCTTGCCTCCCTTTGTCGGGGGCAGCTCAGCCATGTGCCAGGCCCTGATCTGGGCGCTGGGGGTTTGGGGAGGAGCAAAAGGGTACAGCCTTTGCTCTCACGGGGGCTCAGGGGTGATAAACATGCAGACACGCAGAAATACATATTTACAAGTACATGTATACCTTGTGTGTGCGTGTATATGTGCATGCATAATACATGCAGTGTTTGTATATGTGTAATTTAACACGGATAGTATGACATCAGGAGGTTACAAGTACACTGACGGAAAAAACGTGAGGGGGCACAGAAGACGGGGCAGTGATGCGTTAGATCTGGTGCCATATCAGTTTCCTACGGCTGCTCTAACAGTACCACAGACCGGGTGGCTTAACGCAGGGAGGTATGCTCTCGCAGTTCTGGGGACTAGAAGTCTGAAGGCAAGGTGTCGGCAGGGCCGTGCTCCCCCTGAAGGTTCTAGGGGAATAATCCTTCCGCTTCCAGCTGCTAGTAGTTGCTGGCAATCTTTGGCTTGTGGATGTGCCGGTCCGGTTTCTGCCTCCATTTTCACATGGGCCTTCTTCTGTGTCTGTGTGTCTGTCTTGGAAATCTTTCCAGATACTTAGAGGTCTGCTTTAATTTCAGCATAATTGAATGACGCAGTTGGCATGATATCCCGTAAGGTGATTCTGTCATGACTTAGTCCTCTTTTGTAGGTAAATTTAAGAGTTAAATTTCATGAATGCTTTCTTGCAAAAAGGTCCTGTAGTCATGTGGTTCAAAAGTGAAGCTGCATAGGAGGGTAAGCAGTGAAAAGTCTCCCCGCTGCCCTTGTCTTTAACCACCCAGTGCCTCCCCCAGTTCTGTGTGCGCCCTTCCTCAGATGGTCTATGCACACAAGCAAATGTGCGTGTAAATTCTCTTCCTGTGCCCCTTTTGTGCACAACCGACCTGTTCTGACCACTCTTCTGTTCCCTGCCTCATTCCCTTTCATAACGTCTCAGGGAGGGGTGCAGGAGGAATGTGTTGTGTGTTGGCGGCCCTGGCTTTTTCCTGTTTCCTTTGAGAGCTGCAAGGTGGGTCGCTTCTTCCGCACTATGACCCCTGTTAACGGACATGCTGGTTGTTGCTACCACTCTGCTAAAGGAATAACCTTTTTACCTGTTACTTTAATATGCATGAATATGGCTATAGGACAATTTCCAGAGAGGGAAAAGCGGCCAGGTTAAGGTAGGTTAAAGTGAAGGTACAGAGTTAGGGGCCGTTTTGTTAGCTATTGCCAAGTTGCTCTCTATAAGGGGGGAACCAGTTGATGAGGGCGCCCAAGGGTCCCTTAAGCCATTTGGTCTTTTTCCAAGCCAATTGGCGAAAAGTAGTATTCCAGACTGGTTTACATTTGCGTTTCTGCAGTGAGTAACGTCGGACAGCTTTGCTTTCTCGTGAACTGCTTGTTCGTATCCTGTGCCCATTCGTCTACAGGGTGGTGTTTTTTTTTTTTTTTTTTTTTTTAACGTTTGTTTATTTTTGAGACAGAGAGAGACAGAGCATGAACGGGGGAGGGTCAGAGAGAGAGGGAGACACAGAATCTGAAACAGGCTCCGGGCTCTGAGCATTCAGCACAGAGCCCGACGTGGGGCTCGAACCCACATACTGCGAGATCGTGACCTGAGCCGAAGTCGGACGCTTAACCGACTGAGCCACCCAGGCACCCTAAGGGGTGGTGGTTTTTATAATCGATTTATTTTAAAGCTCTTGAAGCATTAAATATGTTAGCCTTTTCAGAAGAGTTGCAAATATTTTTCACCCCAAACTGTTGTTTTTCTTTCCTTTTTGTTTCTGGCATCTTTTTGCCAAGCAGAACCCTTTCAGGTTCATACAGTCCAGTCTTTCAGTGGTGTTTGTACCTGTGGAAGGGGTTTTAGTTTTAAGTGGTGATTAGTAGGGGTCGGTCATACCTGGGAGTTAGGGCACAAGGAGCTGAGGGGAGGACTCACCAGTGGGGTTTGATGGAGGCTGCGCGGCCCCTGGTTCTAGGTCAGTAGTCCGGGCACAAGGGAGAATGACGGATCCCGCTGGCATGGATCTCCGCTGAGATCTGAGGACCCTGGGAGACTTCTGGGGCAGGTAGTGCGGAGGGCAGAGACCCCGAAGAGGGGTGGGCCTCTGCACTCAGGACTCCGCCTCTTGTCCCCCCACCCCCACCCCCATCCAGGAGGAGCTGGAGTTCTGTGAAAAGCTGCTACAGACCTGTTTCTCCAGTCCGACGGATGACAGCATGGATCGGTGAAACCTGGTGGCTTATCGCCTGTCTCCGTGGAGCCCCAGGCCTCCTGCCTCCCAAGCGAGAGCAGGGCCTTACTGGTGCATGGCCAGGGCGTGCCAGCCGGTCTCTGCTCAGCCCCCTGCAGGGGCACCGGGGAAGGCTCTGGCTCCCTGGATCTCACCTCTTGTGCTCTCACGCCCTTCCTCCTTCTTGTGTCCACACTGTTCTAATAAAGGTGTTTCTCTTCCTCCAGCTCATTCACTGCAGCCTTTGTCACCTCCCCTAGAGGATAGTTGGGGGGTGGGGCACGATCTTACGGGACCGAGGGAGCCACGGAGGAGGAGAGGGCAGCGGGAGGAACCTGGAAAGAAAAGTGCTGCTCCCTAAAATCCAGAGCCATCGTGTCTCATCTTCTCAGGCCCTCTTGAGAGGGAGTGTGGTGGACACCCGCCCTCCCTTTTGACCATCCAGCGTCGCCGGTTTCTCCATCAGAAGAACCCCCCACGTTTGATGTCCAAAGGGCCTGCCCGGAGGCGGGAGCCATGTTACTTCCCCGCATCCCGTGCAGAGGCATGTCACGTGACATCAGCCCCACCAATTAGAGCCCACCGCGTGGCTTCTGGGCGCGGGAGATGGGGGGAAGGCGGGAGCAGGTGCACCGCGGCCAGCCGGAAGCGCTCTACTTGCCCAGGGCTTGGGCATGGGCCTTGCTCCCGGCTGCAAAGCACTGAGAGATCCCCAGCCTTATCCGATATTGGGGCTGGAGACAGGTCTCACCCCCTTTCATAAATTCCTTGTCAGCTCAACCAAGTCTGGTCATGTGCAACCAAGGCTCGTGACCAGTGCCATTTTTCAGACGAGGAATGTGAGCCCAGGGTGTTGATGCGTGGGCAAATTCACACAGCTAGGTTTCAGACCCGGGCTGGCTTCAAAGCTGTGCTCCTCCCGTACCCTGGTCTCCTAGCTCCATTTTGTACACGCTAATTCCTCTCGTGTGGCATTTACTCGTACTCTTGGGATTTGGGATGGCCCAATTATTTCACCCTTCTTCCCAAGTTCAGGATAAATTGAAAGGTAGCTACAGAAGCCAAGAATTGGAGCTCAAGTATCACGTTTATTACCATTATGGCCAGAGAAAGTAGCTTTAGTCTTGCTGCTACCCCACCCAGCGTGAGACATGCTTGCCTGTCTGGTCACAGGCAGCACTGGACAAGCAGAGGCCTCCCCTTGGGTGCCGCAGGCCGCACTGGGCAAGCTGGCTCTAAGACAGGGAGGGCTGGCGTGAGCCACGATGCCCGTCCAATCTGGCAAATTGTTCCTCAGCCCCTAAAGGGGTTGGAGAGGCCAGGGGAGACACACTAAGCAATAGAAGTACCTCCTTGTGGAAATGTGAACAATGGGGAATGAGCGTTGTCACCAGACACTTTAACCGCCTTCCAATTTTTTACGCATAACCGCATCGCCAACCTGTGAGTCCTGATAGGGGGGAGACGACGCAGATTTTGGTCTTTAAAGCTGCTGCAGCTTCCCAGGTTCTTCCAGACTGACCATGTCAACTTCTCAGGTTTCTTTTGCTGGTTGAAAAGGGCTACCCCTCGTCTCTCAGTTCCTGAGCTTATGTGTTAAAATAATATGGCAACTGTGCAAACATGTAACAAAGCAAGCAAAATGCTGAGTAAAAGACAAAAGAATGTGACCGAAGAAAAGATGACTGAGGAACAGAAGGAAATGCATCACAACTGCTTCAAGCTGAGTTACAATAGAAACCTGGGTCCATTTTAAAACAACCCCCCCCCCAAAAAAAAAAAAAACAAAAACAACAAATCCCCGGGCAGCTGGGTGGCTCAGACTTTGGCTCAGATCATGATCTCACAGCTGGTTGGTTCAAGCCCCATGTCAGGCTCTGTGCTGACAGCTCAGAACCTGGAGCCTGCTTCAGATTCTGTCTCCCCCACCTCTCTGCCCATCCTCCATTCTTTCGCTCTCTCAAAAATAAATGTTTCAAAAAATTGAAGAAACAAATAACAAAAAACAAATCCCCAATGATGAAAAGGTTAAGATTGGCAAAACTAAGGAAACAAACAGAGGACTATGGTGGATTGTTCAGGAAATATTTACTCCCTCCCATTCCACCTCCATAAGAGAAGTACACTTATCCACTCTGTTGGTGTGTGGAATTTATGTGCCTGCTCGCCATAACTTTGGGCTTGATTGTGTGACTTGCTTTGACCAATGGATGATGGCAGATATGAGGCAACCTGAGACTTGAAATGCGCTAACAGATGGGCTCGACCTGGGCTGCTTCTCCCTTTCCTTGTGAGATGGTGCCCTGGGTAGCCCATGGTGCCAGAATATGAGAGACATGGGAAACAGAACCAACTTTGCCAAACTTCACATTGGCCAGCTCCAAGCTGTAAAAATGATAGATACATGCTGCTGAGGTTGTGATTGTTACACAGCAGCAGATAACCGATACAAGGGCCAAAAATTAGCTCATGCAGCAAATCCACTGGAAATAGCAAGGACCAGAAGAAGAGACATATGATAATAAGCAAATACAGGTGGAAATGAGAAAGATTAAAGCAAGTACAGAGGAGCTAACAAATGTGAAAGGCAAATGCATAACTGGCATCCTTGAAATGGGGAACAAACAACAAGAACAGGAAAATGTACTAAACATATGATTCAATAAAATGTCTCTGAAATAAAAAAAAAGTAAATCTGCAGGTTAAAAAAATGAAAGGAGTCCGTACACGCACGCACTCGTCTGATCCTTACAGTGGGCCTTACAGTAACATGAGCAAGGGCCTGTAACAAATTGGGGAAACGGAGGCAACAGTAAAGACAAGGTCTGGGCAAAAACCTAAGGCGAGACCTAAGTCAGCTTTACGCACAGAGAAGGCGTCAAGAACCGCGCGAGGCAGACGCGCGCTGGGCCCTGGTTGGAGAGAAAACCGGGTGCGGATTGCCCAGGACCTGGACCCTGGAGCGAAAGCAGGAAATAATTGGAGGAGACGGAATGGATTTCCAAAAGGAGCGAGTGGGAAGAGAAATCCTGGAGCAGGATTTGCTCTGGACTTTGGAACGGAGTCGTAGACAAAGGCTACCCGCGTGCGGTGGCGCCTGCGCGTTGGGTTGTCTGGGTTTATTCAGGGAGAGACCGTTGGCCCAAACTAACGCAAGCGCATCCGCAGCCATGTTCTGGCTGGGCCGGAGGGGCGTGGTTGTGCCCCGCGCGCAAACGCACTGCCCGGGCCCGGGCGCGCGGCCTCCGCGCACCCGGTCGGCGGCGGGTGGGCGGGGCTTCCTGCGTGCCCCTGCGCTAGGGGATTGTGGGATAGTGGCGGACGGAGCCGGGCGTCGGAGGCCCCTAGCCGACTGCAGAGTCCGAAGCCGCGGTCCGTTTGAGGAAGGGGGCGCCGAAGGAAGTGGGCCTCGGCTTCCGTCGGCCGCTCCTCAGCCCTGCGGCCTGTTCGGACTGCGGAGGACAACGTCTTCCCTGACCGGCCTTTGCTTTCCCGCGCGCCGCCGGGCCGGGCCAGCCGGGACCACTTCCCCGCTGAGGGCCTTCGCCGGCCTCGCGGCCGCACCGACCTCTCCGCGGTCCCGGTCGCCGGCGAGCCCCGGACGCCCGCCTCCGTCCGCTCCCGGCCGGCGCTGACCCCCGGACTCTGGAGCTCGGCGCGCGGGGAGCCCCCGAGGCCCGAAGGCGCTAGCGCGAGCCCCCGCCGCCGCCGCCCCCCGCCCCCTCATACCGGGCCCCTGAGGCGGGGCCGGAGCCGCCGGCGGCGGGGCGGGGGGGGCGCCCCGATGAGCCCCGAGTG